AACTTCTCCTTTTAATTTATCTTTACATAGTTCTGTAACATCATTATATACTTCGTCCAATAAATCATTTCCAATTTGCCTTGTGGAAGAAGGCTTGTATCCTGGTCTTAAAACTTTACACATTTTTTTGAACTCGTCATGCTCTACATGTCTAAATGGTGTATTCGTCGCAAAGAAAAATTTGCCAATTTGTAAATCAATGGTGTGTGCATATGATTTTGATGTTGAAATTACGCTGACGTCCTTAGCAACATTTAATTTATTTATATCTAAGCAGGGCTTTTTTTTCGGCGGTTTTACTGTTGATGATAATATCGTTACTGAAAGATAAAGTAAAATATTATTTTTTAAATATAGATATAATTATTGGTCGGCAGATAAAAAGAGATGGTGTAATAATTAAACAGTTCAAAAAAGGAAATGTCTGAGCTAACACCATATAACAAACTATTTTATATTTTTTATTCATGCCAACCAACAGCCTTATACAAATTTGTATTTTTAGAATGTAACATTTTCTTTATTTACCATGCAATTTTCATTTTTGGTTATTAAAAAGCGCTTATTAAATAAAATAACTTACCATTTTTATTTTTAACACGTTCAGTTTCTTCTTGTTCCAGGGTCAAGGTTTGATTAATATTTCCAATAGTATTTATATCCGTTGTTCCAGCTTCACTATTTAGACACTTTTCAATGTGTTTTAACATTCTCTGTGGGATTCCCTGCATCTCCTTTTCACATTTTTTACAAATAGCCCATTTACCACTATTCTGATCTTTATTTACGCATCGAAAATTTACCCACACTGAATGTTTACTTTTTGGCATTTTTTAATAATAAATAAACAGTATAGAAAAGAGAAAAATAATAGTTGCAACACACAATGCCTAACTGTAACTAAAAATAGCACACAACAGAGAATAAATCGATAAATGTAAACACTCTACCCAGAAAAATCCCAGACAGTTGTTAACAGACTGATGCCAGGTTGTTATATATTAAGCAGATTTAAAGATATTTAAATATTGGATATATATCATCAACATTGATATTTATCTAGCAATAAATATCATGATATATATCACGATATATATCATGATATATATCGTGTGATATATATCTGCCAACTCTGCAATTTTTTGTGCCCTTTCATTTGTTAGTCGATTTCTTTTATTTGTATCGACATTTCCATACGTTGATAAGCTTCGTTCTATGGCAGTTGTTGACGGTGGGCAGTTTAATACCTCTACATCTACTTTGCTTAACTTTGTTTGTTGTTGAACAAATCGATTTTCACTAAGTCACTGCTGACAGTTTTCCATTTTTTAGACTGTGTATTAGAATGAATTAATTAATACTACCCAAAGGGGCTGGTTGTGAAACAGTAAAAAAAGGAATTGTTTCTCAAATTCGCTTACCTTAATATTGTATATTCAACTGGACGATCTTGTTCCAAATTTATAGTAGCAGTGGTATAAGCACATTTAGAATCGGGCCCGATTATAACGATTGTAATTATGTAACAGTCGTAGCGGTATAATTCGTACAGCAAATATGGCGACACGGACACACACGGCACATCGAAGTGTATAAACGCAATTAATAGACTGTTCTGATCCAAGGTCGCTTCACTGGTTTTACCAGGCCCATGACACTCCCTGGGCGGGAAAAAGACGCGCAGCTTTTACTGCGCTGACGTTTTCGGGATATAACCTATCACTTGTCATAAATCCGGTTAAAAACTCGCTACCATGCGCAGGCAACCCATATTTTGTACACAAATATAAACTTTTTGTTTACATTTTATCGAAGTAGTTTTTGTAATACATTCACAGCTTAAAAACGGAAAATTTGTTATTTTGATAGTGGATTTAGATCAAAAATACCCCAAATACACTTCAGTGATAAAAACATCTAGTGCTTTGTGCTTCCTTTTTTTCTGTTGGTGTCCCAGCCCAGCATTTCTAGCCAGCAGTAGTAGCAAAAACATTAACATTGTCTACATTCAACCCATTTTCATGTACATGATTTATCAGCTAAAAGCAGAATACAATATTTCTCTACAAAATGTAAACAACGCTACAAGGAAAATTGCTCATGTATAAATTCAACAATTAAATCAAAATATATTATTTTTAAAGGACTTATATCAACTATTATGTTAATTATAAATATTATAAGTATTTGTAACAAAATAATAGTTGTGTATTAATAAACCTGTTGCTACTCCAAAAAATATATTATTTATTGATTATCAGGTATCAAAAATATGTGTACCTATAGAAATTTGTTGAAATGTTCTATTGCTCTTAGTCTTTTTAATGGGTTCTTATTATAGTTGTAAATAAAAATCAACACTTTTTATCCGTCTATTTAACACTTACAAACGTATGCATATTTTAAGTTGTAAGGATCCATAGCCTCTTAATGTTTTACATTATAAATAAGACCTGTGATGTCACATTAAATCGTTAATATGAGGTAAAGGATTTGGGAGTTGTCTTTCAGTCTAATTTGAAGTTCAATAACCATTTTTTACACATAACTAAAAAAGCAATAAAAGCATTAGGTTTTTAAATCAGAAATACAAAAAAATTTAGGATTACCACCAAAATCAGATTATATAATGCCTTAGTAAGACTCCATCTTGAGTATGTTTCACAAATATGGATGCCCTTGGAAGCCACACAAATTGATCATATTGAAAAAGTACAAAAAATATTTTTACGGTACCTTTATGTCATAAAAAATACTTGTACCCTTATACCTAAGATCTCGTATAAAACTATGGTCAATAGTTTTAAGATTAAATCTCTTTTACAAAGAAGAAAGCAACAGGCTGTGATATATTTTGTACTCTATTTTAAGTACAAAGATTGTGAATTGATTGACTATATAAATGTTAATGCGGCAAAGATTAATCTAAGAAACCCAAGTAACAATAAAATATTTGATTTAGATCCAAGTAGTATATCTTTCTTTAACAAGATGATGGCTGTTACCAATGAGTTTCTTAGCGAGATCCAAATAGATATCTTTAATGTTAGCCTAAGAAAGTTGAGGACTGTACTAAATTAAGTTCACTAGATATAAAGGTTTGTTTTGTTTTTGGTCTTAAATTTCTTTTTACTTAACTCTACATCTAACTACTATTAATTTTTTTATAGTATCCAATACATAAATTATACCTTATGGCTGCTTTCAAACAATTCTGTGTGTAGTCACTTAGTTTAAAGTCAATTTTAAATTAGTGGTTTTACAAGAATATCAAATAGTAATATGTATTGTGTCTATGAATTTGCTGTGTGTAGTAAATGGCCAATATACATAACTTTGATATTTTTATCACAAGTGTAAAAACTACGAAAACCATATACATATAGTTCCCATTTTAAAATAAATTCAAATTAATTCATAATAAAAAATAACGATTTTAGTCTGCCATACTTAAACTCATTCACAAAAACAAGTCACTGAGTGTATATTTGTAAAAAAACTACACTAAATATGTCTCCGTTACAAATTTTTAAATTTAAAACTACATACTTTCCTATAGATTTTGCAGTACCTAAATAACGTATAGAATAAATTTTTACAATATACTAGAAAAGTTTTAGATTAGAGTAATTCTTAAGAAATAAAGCAATACCTCTATTTTGTTACTCTAACCTTGTGTGTTATATATTTCCCTTGACAAACTAACGTTATATTTTGAACTAAAAGTAATTAAACTTTTCACCAAAAAGTAATATTTCACATATATAAAAAAAATTTAAAACGGTTCTGTCCTTCTTACATTTGCGAAGACTGCCCTGATATCTAAACTATTTTCTTCTTCAAAGTAATTAAGTTGATCAACCGTTGTCTATTAAGGTATCTCACATCTCCCTCATACACACGAATTTGAAAAGCAACAGAACAAAAATTCAACTAACCATGTATACCAAGTCCGTGTAAAGAAAACTTTTCATATCCCGAAAACGTCAAGTGTCAACTAAAATTTCTACTTTTAAAGATCAAACGTGCCGCCTCAGAGTGCCAATACTGATTGGTATATATACTGGGGTTTTACGTTCAGGAAACGCCTGGTGTGGTCTATGTTCGAAATAAGCGATTTGAGGCAAAAGCGCTAATATTTTAAAATAAGAAAATGAAATTAATTCATTCTGTAACAGACTGGTCCATACGAAGTCCTTAGCAAATAGGGCTTCTTTAGATCTACAAATCGCAATACTTTTCTGCAAGTAAATTCCAGCTAGCTGTCATGTTTCTTTCATTGTCTGTTGTAACTGACATAATTTTTTCTAAACCTATTTCATCAATTACTTCGGATATAATGTTGCACATGAAAGTTGCTTCATAACGAGGTGCTTTTGTATCTACTATTTTATATAACACAGGCTCCGGTATGGTAAGAATAGGATTACCATATTACAAAATACAATTTCCTGACATTCCTAATGAATATTCGGGAGACATTTTTAAAAATCCGGACAAAATAATAAAACTTCAACTTGAAATAATTACTATGTTTTATTAATCCCTACAGTCTTAACAGTATGAATTTTTTCGTTCACGGAATTTTTTACACGATCATATTTACTGTTTAGTAATTTATTTGATAACTGATCCCTTGTGGGAAATTTTAATAAAGAGCAGTTATCTAGTGCTTATTTTCACCAAGGTCGGCGTCGCTTTCGCGAAATATTGTAAATTACAAGAAAATGCCGTATATAATGTAAATTTTTCACCACAAAAATCGATAATTTACTTTGTAAATTATGAGTAAATTACTGCAATTTATTTCTGGTTAATTACGGTAAATTACTACGTTAATTTATCGGTAATTCACATCTCTGGACACGGGTATTGTTGAAGACTCTGTATATATTACATTCTTGCTCACAGAAACGCATTTGCTCATAGGAACTTTTTAAATTTTCATACTACCAACTCTTCGCATTTCAACAACTCCTCATGAAATCGTATTATTTTAGACCGAGAATAATCATTACGTTTGAGAAAATACACAATTTTAAACTGATGTTACCGTACGTATTGGATTGTCACGAAAAAGCCGTGAGGGTCATGTACTTAAGGTACGACCACCAGAGTGATACTTGCGAAAATAGCAAACCGCCAACATTCCCGCCTTCATTCGATTTAGGTAAGTTGAACGATTTTAATTTGCACAGTATAAAAAATTAGGTTAGGTACGGCGAAATCGTAAGTGCTCATAAGTACCAACTTATTACAGATATGCTGCAAACTTTTAAAAACGAATGGCGCACGAAATTGAAATATAAATACGAACGTCGGGATAGACAGCAACCTCCTAGCAAAGACGATCCGGAATATGAAAATTGGGTACCGGAACAGGAGGAATTCGGACCGGACGAAGAATATCCGTTCGTACCTTACAAGCATCTAATTCCTTCGCCCAACGAGTATGTCGCCATCTTAGAAGGTAAGCGGATACAATATTTACTCTACTCATTATATATTCTACCAATTTGAATTTTACTACGAGCGTACGCAAAGTAGTACTTTTCCACGTGCATTTCCGTGGGAAAAGTTGCACTTTTCTACAAGCCGTGCGGAAAAGTAAAACTACTCAAAAATCAAGCCCTTCCATGCTTAATACAGTAAAATACGGTGAAATACGGTAAAGTACGGTATAATACGGTAAAATACAGTAAAATTCGGTAAAATACGGTAAAATACGGTAAAATACGGTAAAATACGGTAAAATACGGTAAAATACGGTAAAATACGGTAAAATACGGTAAAATACGGTAAAATACGATAAAATACAGTAAAGTCCATGCTACGGATTCCAAATAAAAGTCATATTTAACTTGTAAAGATAAATAATGCACCATATTTTACTATTATGATTAAATTATTTACTACCTTCATCATTATTGAAAGAGATAAATAAAAAGGCATCACTTATTTTTATAATTAATAAAACACAGTAGCGATCTTTCTTAAAGGACACCATATGGTAAGTTTTCTGTGCTTTCTGTCTTTCATTTTATTCTGTCTAATGCTTTTATTTATACCTTCCATTCTCTCTTTTAGGCCTTCTTATTTTGAGCTGGTATTCTTTTATTGTAAAAACAATAAATATATCTTAAGTAGAACCAAACTAATTGGAAATAGACCTACCTAATCGCTGCTACTGCCCTGGCTTTTCATAAGGTACCGATAAAGGTACATTCACACAAAGATTACCGCATGTTATCATTACTCTGCATGGAACACTGGATAACAAGTAAGACGATTCGGGTTCATATTTAACTATACTTGTCACGAATTGCTGCTTATACTCTCTTCGTTCTTCACTCTTCGGCTACTTTACTTGACAAAACTGCATGTTGAGGCTTAGACTTTTCTTTATTGCAAACTACGTACCAGTAACGCTTTGTAATCAATGCTACTGTTAGTTTATTTTGTATGAATAACTATCCAGTAATACAGGCATTTAAAGGGTTCTACTCTTAATTGTATTGCGATATACTTTCAACTTTACTTAAAACTTTAACCTCTCTTTTCTGTAGCTGAACTGTAACCTATAATTAAACCACTTCATTTTTCTGGAATGATACCATTTTATTCTGTTATTCCACGACCCTCTCTTCGAAGATAATTTAAAGTTAATTTTAAAGCTAGTCTAAGTACAACTGTTAGGAGCATCACAAGCACTTAACACGCAGTAAAATGCAGATACAGTAAAATATAGCGAAATACCGTAAAATAAACTAAAAGTAATAGGCTTAAATACGGTAAAATATTTTAAAACATGGTAAAATATATAAAGTACAGTAAAACACAATAAAATACAGAATAATTCTGTAAAATACAGTGAAACAAATACGGTAAAATATAGTAAAATACGGTAAAATCCAGAAACATACAGTAAAATACGGTAAAATAGGCTAAAATACGGTTAATTATTTTAAAACACGGAAAAATAGAGTACATTACAGTGAAACTCTAGTAATATATCGTAAAATACAGTAAAATAAATAATATAAAAACGCGGTGAAGTACGGTAAAATACTTTAATATACTATAAAATACTATACTATAAACTACTATAAAATACTATAAAATACTATAAAATACTGTAAAATACTACAAAATACTATAAAATACTATAAAATACTATAAAATACTATAAAATACTATAAAAATACTATAAAATACTATAAAATACTATAAAATACTATAAAATACTATAAAATACTATAAAATACTATAAAATACTATAAAATACTATAAAATACTATAAAATACTATAAAATACTATAAAATACTATAAAATACTATAAAATACTATAAAATACTATAAAATACTATAAAATACTATAAAATACTATAAAATACTATAAAATACTATAAAATACTATAAAATACTATAAAATACTATAAAATACTATAAAATACTATAAAATACTATAAAATACTATAAAATACTATAAAATACTATAAAATACTATAAAATACTATAAAATACTATAAAATACTATAAAATACTATAAAATACTATAAAATACTATAAAATACTATAAATACTATAAAATACTATAAAATACTATAAAATACTATAAAATACTATAAAATACTATAAAATACTATAAAATACTATAAAATACTATAAAATACTATAAAATACTATAAAATACTATAAAATACTATAAAATACTATAAAATACTATAAAATACTATAAAATACTATAAAATACTATAAAATACTATAAAATACTATAAAATACTATAAAATACTATAAATACTATAAAATACTATAAAATACTATAAAATACTATAAAATACTATAAAATACTATAAAATACTATACTATAAAATACCATAAAATACTATAAAATACTATAAAATACTATAAAATACTATAAAATACTATAAAATACTATAAAATACTATAAAATACTATAAAATACTATAAAATACTATAAAATACTATAAAATACTATAAAATACTATAAAATACTATAAAATACTATAAAATACTATAAAATACTATAAAATACTATAAAATACTATACTATAAAATACTATAAAATACTATAAAATACCATAAAATACTATAAAATACTATAAAATACTATAAAATACTATAAAATACTATAAAATACTATAAAATACTATAAAATACTATAAAATACTATAAAATACTATAAAATACTATAAAATACTATAAAATACTATAAAATACTATAAAATACTATAAAATACTATAAAATACTATAAAATACTATAAAATACTATAAAATACTATAAAATACTATAAAATACTATAAAATACTATAAAATACTATAAAATACTATAAAATACTATAAAATACTATAAAATACTATAAAATAATATAAAATAATATAAAATACTATAAAATAATATAAAATACTATAAAATACTATAAAATAATATAAAATAATATACAATAATATACAATAATATACAATAATATAAAATAATATAAAATAATATAAAATAATATAAAATAATATAAAATAATATAAAATAATATAAAATAATATAAAATAATATAATATAAAAATAATATATAATAATATAAAATATTATAAAATACTGTAGATTACGATAAAATAGAGTAAAGTACCGTAAATTACAATAAAATAAAGTAAAATACACTAAAATAAAGTAAAATACACTAAAATATAGTAAAATACAGTAAAATATAGTAAAATACAGTAAAATACAGTAAAATACAGTAAAATACAGTAAAATACAGTAAAATACAGTAAAATACAGTAAAATACAGTAAAATACAGTAAAATACAGTAAAATACAGTAAAATACAGTAAAATACAGTAAAATACAGTAAAATACAGTAAAATACAGTAAAATACAGTAAAATACAGTAAAATACAGTAAAATACAGTAAAATACAGTAAAATACAGTAAAATACAGTAAAATACAGTAAAATACAGTAAAATACAGTAAAATACAGTAAAATACAGTAAAATACAGTAAAATACAGTAAAATACAGTAAAAATACAGTAAAATACAGTAAAATACAGTAAAATATAGTAAAATACAGTAAAATACAGTAAAATACAGTAAAATAAATACAGTAAAATAAATACAGTAAAATACAGTAAAATACAGTAAAATACAGTAAAATACAGTAAAATACAGTAAAATACAGTAAAATACAGAAAAATACAGTAAAATACAGTAAAATACAGTAAAATACAGTAAAATACAGTAAAATACAGTAAAATACAGTAAAATACAGTAAAATACAGTAAAATACAGTAAAATACAGTAAAATACAGTAAAATACAGTAAAATACAGTAAAATACAGTAAAATACAGTAAAATACAGTAAAATACAGTAAAATACAGTAAAATACAGTAAAATACAGTAAAATACAGTAAAATACAGTAAAATACAGTAAAATACAGTAAAATACAGTAAAATACAGTAAAATACAGTAAAATACAGTAAAATACAGTAAAATACAGTAAAATACAGTAAAATACAGTAAAATACAGTAAAATACAGTAAAATACAGTAAAATACAGTAAAATACAGTAAAATACAGTAAAATACAGTAAAATACAGTAAAAATACAGTAAAATACAGTAAAATACAGTAAAATACAGTAAAATACAGTAAAATACAGTAAAATACAGTAAAATACAGTAAAATACAGTAAAATACAGTAAAATACAGTAAAATACACTAAAATACAGTACAATACAGCAAAGTAAATATGGTAAAACAGCGAAAAATACAGTCAAATACGATAAAACACAGTAAAATACTGTAAAATAGAGTAAAAAATACTGAAATATAGTTAAACACAGTAGAATAAGTATTTAAAATACGTTAAAATTTTGTAAATTAAGGTAAAATACGATAAAATATGGTAAAAATACCGTAAAACTATGTAAAATACTGTAAAATATAGTAAATACGGTAAAATACAGTAAAATACGGTAAAATGCGGTAAAATAAGATAAAATACGATAAAATAGAGTAAATTAAAGTACAATAAAACACAGTAAAATACAGTAGAGTACAGTTAAAACAGTAAAATATAGTAAAATACGTTGAAATACGGTAAAATAAGATGAAATACACTAAAATATAATAAATTATGTCCGTGCTTTTAGAGTTTAGATACAATCAAGAAAAAAAGGCTTTTCTCGATTTAGTACCAGTTGAAACGGAAGCTCTTAATTTGAGAAAGTTTTCAATATTAGGAGGTATTTTTGCGGTACACTATATCTGCCAGCCCCCTCAGCCGTCCACGTTCGCCACTATGACACACATATATGAAGCCAGGCGTAAGTATACAAATGTTGCAAAAAAAGTTTAAAACAACGAGATTGGTTGATAAACAGAAACCGAATTCAAATAAATACAATAAATGAATTTTGTAGTGTTTATTCCTCAAGAACTTACATATGTAAAATTTTTCGCCGAATACGATCCGCCTATCGAATATCTATTTGTGGATCCGAATGCACGAAAACAACCGACTCCAGAATATGTGGAAGAATACCAGATGCAGCAGGATGCTTTGAATACTCTCATTATGATTGGTTTGAAGTAAGTAAATTAATAATATGAAGCAGAATTAACAACTGTCGCAGGAATATCAAATTTTTAACATTTTTTTTCAAACAATAGGTACCTACGGAGCATGACAGTTATCGATCAATCCGTAAGTCAATACGTTTCAGGGAATTGAGACACCTGTTTTACCTTCTGTTGTAAATAAATTGAACTCACCTTGTATTATATAATTTTTGAATAACCCTCATATTTATTTTGGATAGTTGTGACATTAAGGCCCGATTGTACAATGCGAGTTGAACCTCAGTTTAGTATGAACCTGGTTCTTGGCGTTGTACAATACTAGTTCAGAACATAAACTGCGTTCATCTATAGGTTCAACAAAGCGGTCATGTTACCGCGCTTAAACCGAGTTCAGACCTATTTTTGAATTTAGTTAGTTGGTAACACACTAAAAAAATATTTTTTTTTGGGTTGGTACCTTATACGTTACCGTACACCGTAGGTAGGTAAATAAACAACAAGATAAATACGAATTACTGAATTCCTAATTAATGCGCTAGTTCAGTGTGATGTCATTTTTTTTCCACTGGCATTTAATTCTAACCAAACTTTTAACAAAAACATCAATAAATTTGACATATACGTTTTTACTGTTTTTATTGTATTTCAAAATATTGTTTACAGGTCATAAAAAATAGTTAAAAGCTATGTAATGTAATAGGTAACTAAACGATTGTATATTTGATACATGATATCTACTTACTTTAAGAATATATTTATAAAAGCGAAAAAAACGATATAATTTAGGTAAACCAAACGAACAAAACGCACTCAAAAAATCTACTGTCACTTTAATTGTCAGTGGAACCATAATTACATCATCACTGAACTAGCGCATAGAAGTTGTTTCATAAAAATGGATGAAATGACAAATATATAGACCAAGGGATAATCAATTTTGTGAAGTGGAACAATTCGGAATTTGTACAAAGATTTGTGAATTAAATTCATTTTTATTCAGCACTCATTCTTCTTACGCATTACATTCACATTCGTTTTTTTTTATTTTCTAAAATGTCTTTATATTTTTTCTCTAGTTCCACTAGTAAACTTTCTTCGGCATGCGTAAAGTTTGGCGTTCTTTTTGATTACACATTCATATTTTCCATATTATCAGTCTGGAAACACGAGGGAAAACTACGTATAACCTCTAAAAATAATAATTTTAGAGTAAAAATGCCAAAAATGGCATTTTATATAGCTTCTCTATTTCCTAATAAGAGAAACAAAAATACCCTACGTATTTATTAAAATTTAAATCTGGCAACCCTAAACAATGAAGTTTATCTAAACCGAGATTGAGCGAGGTATGTACCTCCGAGCAATTACTAATAGAGGGAGCGTGAAAATGAGTTTGTAGGCGATTGTTGTGTTAGCAACATCTGTAGAGGAAGTGAGGAAGCGGGTACAAGGGGAAGGTAAACATCCTTCTTGTTCAGTGGCGTATCATTTATCTATAAAAACACACATTGTCCAAACGTTTTAATTGTAAAAAAAAAACTAAAAAATTTGCTAATTTTACTATTTTTAAAATGAATACCGTCTTATATGTATCTAATGCAGAAAAAGAAACAAAATCACTGTAAAGGTCTAATTTTTTCAATTGAAGAATAAAACCTTAAAATCAATTTTATTATAAATAAATACAGGAGCGACTAGTTTCGGCCTTACAGGAACATCTTCAGGCCTGTAATACAATAATATTTAATTATTATAATAGGTTGGTCACTTACGAATAACATTAAATAGTATAAACCACAAAAATGGATCCATATTGTAGCGTTACAGCATTATAGAATTAAAGCTGTGAAAATAAAAGAGCAGTGCAAACGTAACTAAAAATAAGAAAACTGAGTACGGAATCTACAAGAGAAGAAGTGAGAATGAGCAATTACGAATGCATTTAAATTGCTCGGGGTAACAAATAAAGCTGATAATGTAGTGGTATAGTCCCCGTCAAAGAAGGTCTGGATATGTTAAAGAGGACGGCGTTTTCTCTGTAAATTTGGAGAATGTAAGGATGGAGGGAAGACGAATCTTGCTGGCTCAGGTGTAGATAGCTAGAAAAAGGAGCGTGTAGATGAAAGTTCCAGTAAATATCGTCACTTTCGTCTAATTTTTTATTCTCACTCACCGTTTCGGCTTTATCTCCGAAATTCATTTTAAAAGGAAATAAAAGTAATCATTCATACAAGCATATAATAAAACAACATGAATTCATTATATTTAATAAGCCAATAAACATTTGTTTCAATAAAAAAAACATATATGTGAGCATAAAAAATATATAAATAAATAAGATTAATATCAAAATCAATTTGAAAATACAACAGATAATAAAATGAAATAAATTAATACAAGTACAAATAGAAAGTTAATAACATACCTTCTAAAAGTAACACATTTTAAGTAGATAAATGTTTAAAGAGTTTTTTCCTGAACATAACTAATCTAACGTATTTCCCCTTTTTAATATTATGAGGGTTTTTGTAGTTGAAATGAAAATTATAATTTATTTAGGTCCTAATAAAAATTTAAACATAGGTTAACAAAGAGTAAAATTCATAATAGAACTTCATAATCTTAAATCGTTATCAAAAATAATTAATGGTAAAACTTCAAACAATAATTAAATTCTTAAACAAATTTCTAGTTTTTGTTTTGCAAAAGACTTTTTTGCCTTCTTCGGTTGCCTCTGCCACTTTTCTTTTAGTAGTTTCGAGGAGAATTTTCCTATGGAAACCAGTAGAACCATCAATTGGTTGGTAAAATTTTGATATTTTGGGTCTGGTAAGTCTTGTTAAACTTTCTTCTTAGGAAGCTGTAACCTTATGGAGAATAAAAATATAATATTATTGTGCTAGAAAAATACTAGGTAGGTACTGAGACAATTTAAAAAAAAGTATTTCGAGAAACTCCACTTTTAATGTCATCATTGTACTTAACTTTTTTATTGCTAAATTATTAATAATGTCATTTTGTGTAGTTCGTTGTGATTTGTATAATATATATTATAAAAACCTATCGTCAATGTTAATGTGCCAAGTTTTTTTAATAATTATGTCCTTGTTATAGTAAAAACACATTTAAACACATTTTTAAAGTTTTCTGGATTTCTGCTTTAAATTATCGTACAATTGTGTGTTTAAGTAAAGGTATATATCTCTTTTTTGTTATAACAGTCTTTGTATATTGTTCTAACTTTTTAGATAATCAGAGAAAACAGTAAGACATCTTAATATATCCTATTTCACCAACAAAAATGTATAATAATTAATCTCACATCAAACGAAAAAAGTCATTTTAGGATGTCCTAATAGGTTTTAACTTAAAAACTAAATAAAATGTATATTGCAACTTTAAATAAATGAATGTTTTTATACCTGACTATAGCACCAGACAAACATTTTTTTAGATCATAATGATCTGCATAACTCAAAATAGTCAATAACACATTATTTAAGTTGTTCTAGTATTGTTTTAGCATAACGATGTAAACTCCAATAATAAATATTCACATTTTTTTGGGACGTTTTTTAAGAAAATTAAAAAAAACATGAATAATGTGATATTCTTGTTTAGTTTTGTACTATATACTATAGTTCATTAGGTAGTGATTTAGAAGCAAATTATGTTCTATTTATAGAATAAAAAATCACTCATAATATCTAAATATTTATACTTATTTATATTTTGGACAGGAGACGGATGAAAGCGAACTTAGCTGGAGTTTACTTGCTCTTAATTTTAATTTTTCGATAAGAATATAAGAAAGTTTAATTGCAAATTAAAGGTGATTGCCTAATGTACCGCCTCTGATAATTAGGTTGTGTTTGTACTTACTTATGATATTATCTTGAACAAGCATTTTCAACAGGCCTTTTACACATAAAGCATGTTTTCACCATATTATTAGAGATAATAAATATTAAATATACATTTACAACCCTTACAACGTTATAAATAATAATATTTTTCGTAAAATACAAATAAGAAATTGACATGTGTCAGAAAGTGTCAGAACTGGCGCTGTCAAACTTGGCAACGCTGATTAAATAAGCCAATTACAGAAGAGGTATTTTCCCCCTCGGGGGGAGTAGATGTTGCTAACAAAATTTAGCGCGGGGAAGGGGGGAAGACTCCCTCTAGTAGTAATTGCTCGGAGGTATGTACAATTCATACTAATTTTTAAGTAAGTTCAACTATTTACCGAGTTCACCTGAACCTAGGTTTTAGCTTGCTTTGTACAATCGGGCCTAATTTTTTATAGAATTGTCAGACATATTTTCTATTGTAAGAGTTATTTTATTTTAAATTTTTGATTAATACATCCTTTCCTCCATAAAACTCCAATTAATTATACCTTCCATTCATTGTGTCACTAGGTATTAGTCTTAATTGCCAGAAAGATTTTCGTACTGTTTATCAGAAATCACACCAAACAACAATTAGGTAGAGTACGATCCAACTTAGAAAAAGCCACGGGCGTCATCAACTAGTCATCGTCTGCCTCACTTTAAAATATTCCTTCTCCGTTGCTCCAGATCGATATACCAGTGGCGTAGGCTCTTATTTAAATAGGAATTAAAGCAGTTTCCCAACAAAAAACATTTATTGGAATAAAAAGTTAAATTTTAATGATTTAAACATTTGTATTATTCCCTAAATAACTAAACTAAAATACCATTACATATATTTTTCGACTTTAGACTTGCAAAACATTCAGTGGGAAGTAAATAAAAATAGCAACACAATTTTGTAATTTAAGATTTTTATTACAATTAAAATTATAGTTATTTATGCAACTAGTGCAAAAAGTGAAACTAGAAGAGTACATCCTAGTTCGTCCGTTAATGAACTATTATACTCTGTTTTTAAACTAAGAGGAGCGATTTGAATTTAAGTTGGCAATTCTGTAGCCTTCTGATTGGTCAGATTACAGTCAGTTTCACACATTACTTTTTAGCATGAACATCAGCTAATAATTGATATTGTTGACAGTTCTGACATTTTATAATTTGATATCTCATCCATTACTTAGTTTTTTACTTTATTTCGTAAATAATAGTTCTTCAGTAAGCAATTGTATTGAAAATCTACAATTATGGATCCTTCTACACTGAGTACTATTAAAGGTAGCAATTCCTGAAAAGCCTTACAAGAAAGGGAAGACACCTTATTATTTTACATGCTGATTCTGATGGTTTTGTAGAAAATGCATTATTGGTTTTTGAAGGTAAAAAGATGGGAGATTACCATGAAGAGATGAATTCCGAAGTATTTTAGAAAAAAATAATTTTATTACTGATTTTTTAAAACTAAAAATTGATGAATTTCTAACCAAAATGATTAAAATGTAACTATTCAAGCAAACACCATCTACTTTAGGGATAATCTTAATTTGGCACAATGAGTTAACATTACTTTCACAAAAAATATTTTAAAAATACTTAAAATTAATACATAGGTATGTATGAATAGTTCACTTTAAAAAATATATGTTGACATGTAGTGTTATGAAAATGTTAGTTCCAGTTTTCAAAACAAATTCTGACTCATAGGCCTGTAAACTTTTGAATGCCTTTATTTGCCCTCTAACGCATTAACCATGGGTTAACACTAAATAAGCCATAATATCCACATTAATCATAGAAGAGATACCAGTTACTGTGTGATCCACTTGTCATTCACTGATTAACTTTTACTTTTTATACCTATAACATATCTATAACAAATATATCCTTAAAAATGTAAACAGATCTTTATATTTTATACTAACCTGGCTACATCTAGATATTCCATTAACAATTTTCTTAAATATTTAATATCCATTTTAAAAAGATCATATGTAGTTATTCTCAAAAAGTCGATTTCAAAAGCAAGAAAAGTATTTCTGACATCAATCAACAACCATATTGACTTTAATTTGACAGTGACATTTCGTTTTAGACACACATTTCAGATCACATTAGAGAGTTGAAGTCATGCTATGAACGTAAACGTATACGTGAAAATTGACATATACGCATGCGCATTCAAATATCCTTTACGTTCACGTCTACGTACATACGTAGGCTTGCGGGCTCTGGCGTATGCACGTAACGCAAATAAAATAACCTCTTTTTAATTGGGAAAAAGAAATCCTAATAATAATTGTCATTATCTGTCATGATACGTAAATGTCACGATGCGTTTAACAACTTCAACTCATATTTTGGACTATACCGTAAACATTATTTTTGTCGTTGACGTTCACGTTTACGTTAACGTACTGGAGACACTTCAACTCTCTATTACTGTGAAATTTGCGACCGTTGTCTGGGACCAATTAAAAAATTACTTCTATGACATTTATTCGTTTCTTAACCGCTCATTGGCCGTTTACCGACTAAGGCCGGCAAAGATAATTATTTCATAAATTTTGAACACGACTATATTTCGAAACTCGCTATTAGTAACAAATCTAGTTACTTTTCCCTGTGTAAATGCGTCTTTTCTAATCGCTCCTCCTAGTTTAAAAACAGTATAGTACTCTCGATGTCTTCACTTTCTTCCGATGAACCCGTATTTTTGTTCGTAAGTAAAAGCTTGGCAACGCCGAAGTTTGGCTCACAATAATAAGGGATCCATGTTTACGCGATAGCTTCTGTTCGAATTATATTCTGGACCATGCGGCAGTCGTACAGCGTTGCCAAATTATTAAGCAATTGTATCTCTATATTAGAAAAACGAAAAAAATCGCCAAAACGCCACTGACGCTTAAATGGGATGGACCTGAGAGAGAGGCTAAATTATTGCGGCCTTTGTCAGGTATGATGTGTGTGGCTTTTCTTAGTTGAATCGTACTTTACATGGGCTCATCCCTTCCATTTTTCCACGCTTCTAAGTTCACATTAAAAGCGTAGATCGTAGAAGAAAAATCAATTTCATTTATAATTCTTTACTTACAAGTAATAAATTACATTTCCATTACCAATTAGCATAGATTGTAGTCATTAATTTCAAAATATTTATAAAAAACGGCAAGTTCGTCTTCTGAGGAAGATTTTCCTGCCCTGACCCATGAGTTAAATGATTCGTTTATTGTTGTAATTCTTTCACCACTTTCTTATCTTAGAGATACTAGGTGGTATTTATCCAATGGAGGCAACTGACCTTAATATATTGTCTTGATAAAGTGCTCGAAAAATCATAAAGAACCGTTCAGTTTTCAATTAGTTATGAAATATTGTTCTACAGGGTGTCTGTAAAAGGTCTTTACAAAAACATACCACATATTCCTTAGACCAAAATAAGTCGATTTACGTAAAATTACCTTAGTACAAAGTTGCTTCGTTTGGGCTCCAGAGGGCCTTGAAGTAACAATTTTTAAATCGTTTTTCCCATATAAATTTAAAACGGCATATGCGATTTTGCTGAAATTTGGTATATTGGTAGAGTTTTATGTGGCAAAAAAAATGGTATTAAAATTTTGTCCGATAATAATACATAGGCGTAGAACTTGATTTTTTAAATAATTGCACCTTTAAAAATTCTACGCCAATGGAAGAAAAGGAGTTTGAGTATGAAATTTAGATTGCACAACTCATTTACTTTAAAAAAAGGTACTCTTGATAAGACTCGATTACTCTCATGGTTTTGACGAAATTTGCATTTTAGTAATTTTAGAACATAAACAATAATTATTAAAATACAAACTTTGTCAAAACCATGAGAGTAAATCGAGTGTTATCAAGGGTACTTTTTTGTAGTATCCAATCCAAATTTCATACTCAATTTCATACCCTTTTTTGCCATTGGTGTAGAATTTTTAAAGGTGCAATTATTTAAAAAATCAAGTTCTACGCCTCTGTATTATTATCGGACAAAATTTTATACGATGAAAAACATAAAAATGTACTTTTTTCATATCTTCTTCAACACCTCTAATCGAGACTTTTAACAAAAATATTCGATTCTTGCCATGTACGATTTTTTGAGGAATATTAATTATTTGCCTGCAATACGTATACAAAAACATTTATTGTTGGTTTCCATAGTTTCATCTAAATAAAAATATTGTCAAGTTTTAACACCTAATCTCTTGTTAACGATTGAAAGTATTCTGTCTGACTCAATAATTAAAAAAACAAATGCGTGGTTTATTAATATGGCTGTACAATATACCAATGCAGAATATACCGATATGTTACTGACATTAGGATTTTGTGAAGGAAATGCTCGAGAGAGTGTCAGGGTGTACTCTGAAAGGTTTCCAAATCGTCGTGTACCTAGCCACCCAACTTTTGCTGCTGTTGAGAGACGTCTTCGGGAGACCGGTTCATTTGCTCCCAACACAGTTGATAATGGAAGAGAACGTTTTGTAAGGATTCCTGAAGTTGAAGAAGACATTTTAGAACGTGTTGAAGAAGATCCAGAATTAAGCACCAGACGAATTGGAAGGGAACTAGGAGTAAGTACAGATGTCGTTCATAAAGTGCTTAGAGAACAATTGCTATATCCATACCATAAGAAGCCAGTACAAGCATTATTAGTCCATGATCCTCAAATTCGTTTGGGTTTTTGTCGATTTGTTAATATGCAAAGAGAAAGAGATCCAAACTTTGTCAAGAAGGTTCTCTTTACCGATGAAGCAGGTTTTACAAGAAGAGGTATAACTAATACCCATAATGAACATGTTTATGCCGTTGAAAATCCGCATGCAATAAAAGTAAACCATTTTCAGCACGAATTCAAAATTAATGTGTGGGCTGGAATAATTGGTAATTTCATTGTTGGTCCTGTCATACTTCCACAAAGATTAACTGGAGAAAATTATTTGGATTTTCTACAAAATACGTTGCCATAATTGTTAGAAGATTTACCTCTTCAACTTCGGAGAGATATGTGGTTTATGCAAGATGGAGCTCCACCACATTTTTCTTTAAACGTTAGAAACCACTTGAAAGAACAATATCCATACAAATGGATAGGCAGATGTAATGACGCACCTGTAAACTGGCCACCACGTTCCCCAGACCTAACACCGATGGATTACTTTTTATGGGGACATCTGAAATCCACAGTTTACAGGGAACCTGTAGAAAATGAGGAACAACTCTGGCAACGTATTCAAGATGCAATAAACAATCTTAGAGGTGATAAAGAAGTTATGGAAAGGATGTTATGGAAAGGATACATTTTAATTTTCTTCGACGTATAAATCTTTGTATGCGTGAAAATGGTGAACACTTTGAACAATTTTTGTAAAATCTCTATTTTGATTATGTTGTAAATAAATATTTTTGTGAAACCTATACACTCTAAATTATTAAAACAGAAATTTAGCGAAAACCATGAGAGTAATCCAGTCTTATCAAGAGTACCTTTTTTAAAGTAAATGAGTTGCGAAATCTAAATTTCATACTCAAACTCCTTTTCTTCCATTGGCGTAGAATTTTTAAAGGTGCAATTATTTAAAAAATCAAGTTCTACGCCTATGTATTATTATCGGACAAAATTTTAATACCATTTTTTTGCCACATAAAACTCTACCAATATACCAAATTTCAGCAAAATCTCATATGCCGTTTTAAATTTATATGGGAAAAACGATTTAAAAATTGTAACTTTAAGGCCCTCTGGAGCTCAAAGGAAGCAACTTTGTACTAAGGTAATTTTACTTAAATCGACTTATTTTGGTCTAAGGAATATGTGGTATGTTTTTGTAAAGACCTTTTACAGACACCCTGTATATATCAATTTGTATTTCAAGGATACCCCAGGGAGTGATTTTTCTACGACAACCAGAAGTGTATGTGTGGCTCGAAGATGAAAAGTATTGGACGAATAAGTATATTCATTATTCGCATTTTGACCAAGAATCACAACGTATCGAATTCAGGTCTCAGAAATTTGGACTTTTCGCTTTAGCAACTCCAAGATACGGACATTTGCCATACAAATGTTGGGAAATTAAACCTGAGATAGAGTAAGATTGTGCTTAAGTTTGAGTAGATAGCCAAAAAGTCTCACTTTGTATTAAACATTTTTGGTCACACTTTCAGTGGATCGGTCACAATAAGTATCGTCGCTTCCGTATTGATTCTAGAATTTATAGTTAAAGATGGATTGATTTGTCTTTCTCTGATAGAGAACTGTCCCAGGAGGAACGCATTGCAAGACAAATTATTCGAATATAAGCAGTTCCATATGTTGAAAAAGGTAATTAATGTCGAAAGATTTCTACTCTTATACATTACATTCCTGATTTTGTACTTTTCATTTTCTTCATAGAACTATTTCAAACTAAGTTTTTTTTTAATAATATCTAAATTTTTTACAAACCATTTTGCATGATTTCAGATGTTAAAAAACCACGGAGTAGATATATTTCCTGAGGCAGATTCTTATTTTTATGTTGAAGGTTTGTCGAATTTTAATAATTTAATAAAATTATAAATCCGCTATTATACAGGGTGTTACGGACTAAGCTAGCACCGTTACAAAACTGCTACAAAACTGTTACAAAACTACTACAAAACTGCTACAAAATCGATATACAAACAAACTGGTAATGTAAACAGAATAAAATATCATCTTTTCTTTAAATTCAGAATTTCAAAATGTACACGTAGACTTTACTCGTTACTTAAGTTACACTTGCAATTAGTAAGCCAAGTTAAGGCCTATTCTATTATATTATACTAATAAGCAGGATAACCTAGTATTCCAGATTTGTTCGTGAAATGTGATATTGGCAACAGTGAACTGTATAAAATGGAACAAAAAGTAACAAAAGTAAGCCAAATTGAATTCGCGCATTACGTCACAGGATTACTGGTGAGATTTAATTATTTCATGTACTTATTTTAAAATCAGGAGAAATTAATATTTCTGACACTCGACAATAAAAAAAATACAATTTACTCTTCCGTTATATACCTAAAGGTGGTATTCTTACCACTTGCGGTGATACATTTAAAATTTTTTACCATATAAAGGGGATGTCTTTTTTTGGCATAAGCACATTGCCATTCAGCCAGACACAGATTCGTCCATAATTAGAACTACCCAAGAATATTTCCTAACAGCAAGAGGTGTAAGAAGAAGAAAAATAAACAATATAGGACGGGGACACTCGCTTCTCGTCCAGGGACCCATCAGGACGTTTTTTTAATAGACAAACAAAATTAGGCCTCGGTAAGAGGGTAAACAAATAGGTAAAATACAGAGGAAACAAGATTAAGATTCCAATTATAGACGAATCTTAGTGTCTTTCAGTAATTGTAAGAGGCAGTTGATAATATCATCAGAAAAATGTGTTAAAGTTGTTTCAATATTTAAGGGGGATGGAATGTTATTTTTTATAAGATTCATATAAAGAGTGTTTGAATGTACTGAGTATTTCTTGCATTCGAAGAAAACGTGATTAAGGTCTCCGGTTGTTTCACAAAACTCGCAATTTTCATCTTCTTTTACATTAATTTTAAACAAGTGTTTGAGATAACTGCCATGACCAAATCTGGTTCTAATTAAAGATTAATGTAGTGTCTCGGAATTATATGATTTTTAAACCAGGGTGAGTTTGGAATATGTCTTTGAATTTTAGTGTACTGATTCGAATAAGTGCAACAGAATTGTGACCAATCATGCCTCCATTTTCTCATATTATTGGATTTTATCAAGGCGACAATATCTGGACTACAGATGTTATGAACGGTGTTGGTTCCTTTTTTTATTGCAGATTTTGCTAGCATATCAACATATTCATTGTGTTTAAGCCCAATATGAGCCTTTGCCCATATAAAAAATATCTTTACGTTATTATTAATTAGTTGGAACAATGCCTTTTTGATCAAGAGAATGTATGGATTAGAATTAAAATTAGGAATATCCAGAGCTACAGCCGATTTTAAAACAGATAAAGAATCTGACGCAATTAGAGCTGCTTTAGTGTTAGATTCTGTTACAAATTGTAAGGCTTCTAGTATCGCAATCGCTTCTGCAGTGTAACTAGAAAAATTATCAGGTAATTTGTAAAGAGCTTTAATATGCAGAGACGGGACGTAGTAGGCGCAACCAGTGCCTAAGTCTGACTTGGATGCATCGGTGTATATAACAATATGTTCAGGAAAGTCATTTAGGTTACAAAGGAGTAGATTTGAGCAATTATGAGGATTTTCATCATAATTGGGCTGTCTAAGTAAGACTTTAGTAATGAAACAAGGAAAGTCGGATGTAATGAAGAATTGGTCGAAAGAACCTAGGGAATCGAACGCTATCTCACAATTTTGAACAGCTTTACATAATGGCGGTGAGTTTTTCTGAATCCAGTATTTATTTGTTAGATTATATGTATTAAGTTGAATAATTTCAGAAAATAAGGTTGAGTTATGTAAGAATGCCTTAACGAGAAATTTTTGACTTAGGTATTCTATTCTATATTTAATGGGTGGCTCTACAGCTTCGATATAAAGGGATTCAGTTTTAGTAGATTTCATAGCACCCAAGCATGTGCGTAGTACAGAATTTTGAAAAACTTCTAACTTTTTCAGTAAAGAGTTGTTGGCTGGTCCATACAAAATACACCCATAGTCCAGTATAGATCGAATGTAGGATCTATAAAATAGTAAGCCTGTATTAACTTCGGCACCTAACCAAACTTTCAAGATAGATTTTAGAAAATTTAGACCTGTTTGACACCTGTTCGACGCATATTCAATGTGATGTTTCCACGTGAGCTTCTTATCGAAGATCATTCCAAGATATTTAGCGTGTGTTTGTAAAGGAAATTCTTGTTGTTTTAAATTAATTGTATTGTTATTAGGTGTGTTGTGTCGGGTGAAAATACATACAACAGTCTTGTTGGTAGAAATTTCAAAACCATTAATACGGCACCAAGACTGGAAACTAGACATAATTGTATTTAAGGATATAAGGGAAGAGTCATATTTCTTTTGTTCCGTGTAGATACATACATATATCGTCTGCATATTGGATGACTTTGAACGGTATATTAATCAAACGAGTTTTATGTAAACTGGCGGTATAAATATTAAAAAGTAGGGGACTCAAAACAGATCCCTGTGGTAGACCAATGCTGGTGTAACGAGGACCTAGGAGCTTATTTTCATTGTCTCTTTTATATATATATATATATATATATATATATATATATATATATATATATACACCTGCTGGAATAAAATTTTATAATGATATTAGCAATTGAAGAAGGAATTTTGCACTCATTAATCATCTTAATCTTTAATATTGATAGATCTACACTATCATAGGCACCTTCTATATCTATGAAAAGGGTAGATAAATAGTTATTTCGGGAGAAATTGTTCTGAATGTCTGTTGTCAGAGTAGAGAGAGCATCCTTCGTTCCATATCCTTTTCTATATCCAAACTGATTACTTGGAAGTAATTTTTCTTTAGTTAACCACCATTCGAGTCTAGTCTTGATCATGCGCTCCAAGGTTTTCAGCACACAAGACAGGAGTGAGATTGGCCGGTATGATTGGGCCAAATTTGGATCTTTTCCACTTTTTAAAATTGGAACTACAATGACTTTCTTTAGGCTATCTTCATCTATTCCATGTGATATGAAATCATTAAAAATATCAAGAAGTAGTATTTTAACTGCTAGAGGTAAATGTGTAAGCATGGGATATTTGATATTGTCAAATCCAGGGCTAGTATTATTGTTATTTTTAACGGAACCCAAAGCAGCATGATGCGCATTAAAGTCCCCTCCAATAATAAAAGGAGTATCAACTTGATCAAAAATATTATTCCAATCCGTAACGGAGGGTTTAATTTTAGGTGGTCGGTAAATGGATAAAAAACTTAGTGCAGTATTCTTGCACTTAATTTTGGCTCCACATACTTGAATATTTTGGTTGAAATTATTAGAAAACTATTTCTTTAAAACTAATACTAATAGGGTTGAGTGGAAGAATATTTTTGATTGTGTCCAATAACATAATCAAAAATAAACTTCGCCCTTTATTTTCAATCTGCTATATTTTGTCATTAATTATGTTAATTGTATTTATTGGAAATAATAAAGACGTTTTTATTATTATTATTATTACTTTGCTTATTCAGAATTGCTACGCCGGTATAACCGTCGTCGCGATCCTTCCTTACAATATTGTAACCTTTAAATTTGTAATTATAGTTGGGTTTGAACCAAGTTTCACTTAGAAGAGCTATATCGATTTTTTTAGAGTTTAAACAATTTGTTAGACTAATTTTGTTGGCAACCGCGGAACGAGCATTCCACTGCATAATATTTAACTTATTTAAACAAGAGGCTTTTTTGGGACTCCCTCCAGAGCCTCCTTAATATTTCTATTTAATGTTTCTTTATCTTGATGATTTATATTTTGAATACTTTCTAAAAAGGTATTTACAAACTCTGAAATACTATTTAACAAATAGTTACTTAAGTTATGAACTAAGCTCTCATTTAATCTATCATTATTATTATCATTATTAACAGTAAATTCCTGATTTTGTCTAATAAAAGAGCTAGTTATTGGCTTTGATGGGCCAAAAGAAAAAGGAAACATTGGCTTATATAAGGGATCTTGTGGGATAGGAGAGGAAGTTTTTCGTTTTTTATTTTTGTTGAGGCCGTTCGTAATATTTGAGCTAGGTTGAGTGTATGGGATCTCATTAGGTTTATTTCTTTTACTTGTAGACGGTTGTGATAAAAAGGTAGGTTTATGATTAGTATTGACATCAGGGTTCGTTTTAGGCAAAGATGGAAAATCGCATTTATCATTGGAGAGAAGAGCGTAGGGGTTGGGGTTTGCTACATTAGAGTAAGAAATTTCGCAAAACAATTTAGCTTCTAAAAATGATATTTTATTTTTCACCATAACATCCCGTATTTTCTTTTGCTTCTCGTAAACAGGACAGATTTTTGAAACTGAAACATGGCTATTAGAATTACAGTGAACGCATTTAACATTTTCCTTACTGCAATTATGAGACTCTGATTTTATATCACCGCAGGATATACATAAATCTTGTGTGCTACGACACTGTTTATGAACATGTCCATAGCGGAGACATTTATAACATTGGGTAACACGACCCACAAAAATTTCAACTTGAAAATAGACTTTGTTAATAGCAATGAAATTGGGTAATAAATTACCTTCGAAAGTAATGATAATTGATTTTTTTGGTTTAAATTCGATTTTACCATCAGTATCAACTTTACGAAACATTCTTTTAATATTTAATATTTTAGATGTAGATTCCATATTTTCAATTAAATAATTGTCTTCAAATTTAGTATCTACATCACGTAAGATACCTTTTACTTCCAGTAGATGGTTGGGGATGAACGCTCTAAGATTATCTTCAGCAAGGTCACTATTTCTTACTAAATTGTTAGCATTAAACATCGATCTTAAAAGTACTTTTATACGATTTTTACCTATGCTTTTAATTTCCAATATAATCGGAATTTTTAACTTTTTATATAAAATGTGTCCTACAGTCATAGGATGTAATCGACCCAAATTAGTATCATTAGTTTTTTCAATATAAACCCAAATATTCTGTAAATTGTACTTATCTGATTGTAGATTAAAACATTTCAAATCGATAGATTTTTTGGTACCATCGTTGTTTTGGTTTTTTGGTTCTGGTTGTGTTTTTTTTGAAGAATCGTCTTCTAATTCGTTATCACTATCACTTAACACCATCATACTTTCCGCCGGTGGCGTCCCTGTATAATTTTTATCCCCCATTGGGGGCTTATTAAATAAACACTTAATATATTTTTGTTTTTAAAACGAACTTATCAAAATTAGTAAAAATTGGTTTGCAAAATTTAAACGCCGTGAATATTTATCGCTCACGTCTGTATACGCCGAAAGCACTCGCGACACTGAAAGGGGATGTCAAAAAATAGGAATTATAGCAGTGTTACACTTATTTTTAAAAAAATGGAAAAAAATTATATGGAATCAATCACCTATCTCAAAAAAAAATTGATGTGTAATAGATTTTATTATTTCTTACTTTAAAAATTTACAAACGCACTATATGCTTTGAAAGAAATTTGTAATGGATAGACCAATCTATAAATTTATAAGAGTCCTCAAAACAGGAATCGTCTGAGATAATAAATTATATCACCACCTTTTCGATTATCGTCCAATCACCACATTTTGTCTTCTTCCTTGATGACGTGGGTTACAGCATTTATCCAATCTTTCTTCCGTATTCGTGCCATTCCGATTTCCAGTAAACGTTGGACGTCGCTAATTTTAAATGTCACGTTTTCACAAGCTACGTAACCCTTTACTTGAGCTTAAATAAGTTCTATCGGATTCAATTCGCAATAGTACGGAGGAAGGCTTAATACGGTTATACCTCGAACAAGAGCCAATGTATCTACAACATGATGATATCTGTCTCGATGCTGTTTAATTATTGTTATAAGCTCCCCTTTAACTATGTCCTCAGAAAAGGGAATTACCTTTTGTCGCAACCAACCTTGCATCACCGCTTTTTAGTGGCCATAGTCGTTGCACTAAGCGGCTATAATAAGAAGCGTTATCAAGCACTATCACTGAATTTGGCTCGATCCGTGAAAGTAGGGTTTCAAACCAACCTTCAAAGCGTTGATCGTTCATGTCTTCGCGATAATCTCCCATTTTTTCAGATAAGAAAACTAATGGCGATTCAAATTAATTTTCGCGCCCCTGTCATTTGTCACCTATAAGTAGGATGTTTGTTTAATTACATGTTTTTGTTTTGGACGGATTTTGTATTTGTGATTTTTTAACTGTTTTTAGATAATATTCTGTAGTATATAACCAACTGAAATAAAGAGAGACAACTTAACTAATATCTCTCTCTTTTATAAAAGTATGATAAATAAAGTGGCGGCGTGATCGACTATGAAGTGACTAGGACACCACGAGTGACAGACTGAAAGATTCGTTATCTATTGGCTACTTACGTGTTATTGAGGGAGTGGTAAAGGTTAAAAGAAAATATCTATTGATTTATATCTAATCTTTATTGAAAGTTATAATAAATACAATAAAACCAATCAAACGTCAATTTGGATACAAATGACAAATTAAGTATATATATATATATGAAAAAAAAAACACATTTAACACTTGATGATTTAGTTAAACACAGAAAAATATATTAAATAATAGTCAATTTGAGTTAAACACATATATGAAATAATATTCAATACATTATATAAAAAAACAATATCTAATAATGCAAGGCAAAAATAAAATAAATATTTTAAGAACAATACCTCATCAGATAACAAACATTGAGCATTACTAGGTTCAAACACACTCGATGCAAAACTGAAGAAAGGTTAATAGGGACAAGGTAATGGGGAAGCTATACAGCTTTACTACCCACCTATGAGTTGAATATTCTGGTGACAAAATCAGGTAAGTTACCGAGACACCTATCCCGATGTTGTCCCAGCCACGGGCGAAAATGTTAGTATCAATCAACAAGGCATTTTATACTTTTAACTTAGATCTGCCAATGCTGTGAATATCTGATGTTAGAAAAACACAATTTACTAATATAATATTACTTTTCCCTTGCCGAACTTTAAAAATGACTAAAAAAAATAATCTCAAAGTCAAATAAAAATTATAGCAAATTTTCCTTGGTATAACTACAAAATATCAATAAACTTCAAAAATATTTAAATTAAAATATTAAAAGGATGCTATTTTTCACTGATTTAGATAGTAAAATAAGTAATAAAATCAAATAAACTCGTTATTGGAATGAAAGCAATTTTTTATGACAGATACAAAAAAATGCCGTCAAGAAAAAGCATGAAATTACTTATAACAGTGAAATTCAAATCTAAATAGTGAACCGTCACCTAGTTAAATAATATAAAAGTAATTGAAACATAATAATTGATTTAAAAAGGCACTTACATTTTTATCACAAATAAAACTAACAAAAACCTAAACCTTTTAACAATGACGGACATTCCATTCTCTCCACGTTCAATCACTGACATTCAATAATTAATTCCCGTTCCTATGACGATGATTCTCTGCTTCTGTTCCAGCGCATGCACGACTTTGGTTCCTGGAATTTACCGCGGTCAAAAGCGATAGAATAGGTGGACGTTTTATATTGCCATTCAACGGGGACGGAATTAAATACGATCCCTTTCAATTCTCATTGTAAGAGTGTTTTTGAGTTTCATTTAGTGTTAATTTAAGTTTAAGTCTCGTGCTTTCGTCATAGATATAATATTTATCATATGTATGACTGCATATGTATAGATTGCAATTTTCTGGGGACTTTTTCGCAAATTTAATTTTTAATATAAACACTATCACATACTATAAGAAATAAACAATTTAAAGCTAAAAAGTAAGAAAAAACTCGAATTATAATTGATACAAATTAAAATGTAAACAATGAACACGAACGCCAATTTTGCCAAATGATGAACTGATTTTAAAACAAAATTAATAAATAAACTGAAATTAAAAAAAAAATTAATATAATAAATCGGTTTTATAAAAAAAATAAATATAGAGTATGATTACATATTACCATACACAAATTTTGATTCTTAAATAAAAGGTCATCCATTTCTTCAAGAGCTAAAATCCGACGACGTAGCGAAATTTTGCTACTTCTGGCAACACTGAACGATATCCTACTTATACGGACCTTCTACAAATTTCCTCCAGAGGGCGTATCACTTGGCTTGAATCGCAAAAAGCACTGTCGTTTAAAAAATCACTTTCACTAGTTATATGGGCGACAATTATTAGTCATTGTCCTTTTCCAGTTGGTCCTCGTTGGACCTTCCACAAATGCTTGTGGCTTATGGCAACCGTTTTGTATGTTTTAGGAGGTCTAGAAAAGCACTGGCCGACAGAAAAACATTTGTACACCAATATGGCCGCCTTGTGTGGATCTTTTAATTTCGCTTGGTCCAAGTGGAATGCGGCACAATCGAGAAAAAGTTTCGTAGTACAAATGAGAGAATACGCACCGAAAAAAAGAAAACAAGTAAATTATCGCCCTATTTTAAAAAATAAATACGTGTGGCACTTGGAGACTGCCGCGGTAAAGCTATTGCATAGCATTTTTTATCAACTTATGCAATTATAATTATTTATTTATTTTATTTATGATGCAGTATTTTTTTTCTTTGATATTAATTCAAGTTTTTTCTTTGATATTAATTCAAGTTACAATTTTTGAGCGTGGTGACCGATAAGAAAACAATTTTTTTTCTTTTATTGAATAAATGAGAAGTTAATATTGTTTAAAATATTTTTATTATCTTAAAATACATGTAGGTTATTTAGGAATTTTTATCATTGAAACTATAGGTTTATGGTAACTAAAATAAGAAACATAAGTTTGAGACTTGATATCCTCTAAATATCGGAAAAATACTGCGACAATGGTGGTCCCATATTTTGTTGTTTTGATTTTTCGACTTTTCGATTTTTGGATATTTGGATTTTTGGATTTTTGGATTTTTGGATTTTTGGATTTTTGGATTTTTGGATTTTTGGATTTTTGGATTTTTGGATTTTTGGATTTTTGGATTTTTGGATTTTTGGATTTTTGGATTTTTGGATTTTTGGATTTTTGGATTTTTGGATTTTTGGATTTTTGGATTTTTGGATTTTTGGATTTTTGGATTTTTGGATTTTTGGATTTTTGGATTTTTGGATTTTTGGATTTTTGGATTTTTGGATTTTTGGATTTTTAGATTTTTAGATTTTTAGATTTTTAGATTTTTAGATTTTTAGATTTTTAGATTTTTAGATTTTTAGATTTTTAGATTTTTAGATTTTTAGATTTTTAGATTTTTAGATTTTTAGATTTTTAGATTTTTAGATTTTTAGATTTTTAGATTTTTAGATTTTTAGATTTTTAGATTTTTAGATTTTTAGATTTTTAGATTTTTAGATTTTTAGATTTTTAGATTTTTAGATTTTTAGATTTTTAGATTTTTAGATTTTTAGATTTTTAGATTTTTAGATTTTTAGATTTTTAGATTTTTAGATTTTTAGATTTTTAGATTTTTAGATTTTTAGATTTTTAGATTTTTAGATTTTTAGATTTTTAGATTTTTAGATTTTTAGATTTTTAGATTTTTAGATTTTTAGATTTTTAGATTTTTAGATTTTTAGATTTTTAGATTTTTAGATTTTTAGATTTTTAGATTTTTAGATTTTTAGATTTTTAGATTTTTAGATTTTTAGATTTTTAGATTTTTAGATTTTTAGATTTTTAGATTTTTAGATTTTTAGATTTTTAGATTTTTAGATTTTTAGATTTTTAGATTTTTAGATTTTTAGATTTTTTAGATTTTTAGATTTTTAGATTTTTAGATTTTTAGATTTTTAGATTTTTAGATTTTTAGATTTTTAGATTTTTAGATTTTTAGATTTTTAGATTTTTAGATTTTTAGATTTTTAGATTTTTAGATTTTTAGATTTTTAGATTTTTAGATTTTTAGATTTTTAGATTTTTAGATTTTTAGATTTTTAGATTTTTAGATTTTTAGATTTTTAGATTTTTAGATTTTTAGATTTTTAGATTTTTAGATTTTTAGATTTTTAGATTTTTAGATTTTTAGATTTTTAGATTTTTAGATTTTTAGATTTTTAGATTTTTAGATTTTTAGATTTTTAGATTTTTAGATTTTTAGATTTTTAGATTTTTAGATTTTTAGATTTTTAGATTTTTAGATTTTTAGATTTTTAGATTTTTAGATTTTTAGATTTTTAGATTTTTAGATTTTTAGATTTTTAGATTTTTAGATTTTTAGATTTTTAGATTTTTAGATTTTTAGATTTTTAGATTTTTAGATTTTTAGATTTTTAGATTTTTAGATTTTTAGATTTTTAGATTTTTAGATTTTTAGATTTTTAGAAATTTGGATTTTTCGATTTTTCGATTTTTCGATTTTTCGATTTTTCGATTTTTCGATTTTTCGATTTTTCGATTTTTCGATTTTTCGATTTTTCGATTTTTCGATTTTTCGATTTTTTTATTTTTTTATTTTTCGATTTTTCGATATTTCGATTTTTCGATTTTTCGATTTTTCGATTTTTCGATTTTTCGATTTTTCGATTTTTCGATTTTTCGATTTTTTGATTTTTCGATTTTTCGATTTTTCGATTTTTCGATTTTTCGATTTTTCGATTTTTCGATTTTTCGATTTTTCGATTTTTCGATTTTTCGATTTTTAAATTTTTAAATTTTTACATTTTTCGATTTTTCGATTTTTCGATTTTTCGATTTTTCGATTTTTCGATTTTTTTATTTTTTCGATTTTTCGATTTTTCGATTTTTCGATTTTTCGATTTTTCGATTTTTCGATTTTTCGATTTTTCGATTTTTCGATTTTTCGATTTTTCGATTTTTCGATTTTTCGATTTTTCGATTTTTCGATTTTTCGATTTTTCGATTTTTCGATTTTTCGATTTTTCGATTTTTCGATTTTTCGATTTTTCGATGTTTCGATTTTTCGATTTTTCGATTTTTCGACTTTTCGATTTTTCGATTTTTCGATTTTTCGATTTTTCGATGTTTCGATTTTTCGATTTTTCGATTTTCCGATTTTTCGATTTTTCGATTTTTCGATTTTTCGATTTTTCGATTTTTCGATTTTTTCGATTTTTCGATTTTTCGATTTTTCGATTTTTCGATTTTTCGATTTTTCGATTTTTCGATTTTTCGATTTTTCGATTTTTCGATTTTTCGATTTTTCGATTTTTCGATTTTTCGATTTTTCGATTTTTCGATTTTTCGATTTTTCGATTTTTCGATTTTTCGATTTTTCGATTTTTCGATTTTTCGATTTTTCGATTTTTCGATTTTTCGATTCTTCGATTTTTCGATTTTTCGATTTTCTTTTATTGAATAAATGAGAAGTTAATATTGTTTAACGCCGCACCGCTGTGCCGGTCGGAGTGGGGGGTGTTAGGTTTTTTTTTTTCGTTACGGAATTTCTTGATTCGTTCGCCGCGCTCAAAGCCCGCGATAAAAGCTATGCAATAGCTTAATAATATTTATAGATCTTGATTATTTATCGGGTGTAGAAAAAATAGCGTATGCAACTCTCATGTAATGGTATTAATACATGATCGTTGCATAATATACTATTATTATCTTACAATACATGTAGGTTATTCCGCCGCACCGCTGTGCCGGTCGGAGTGGGGGGTGTTAGGTTTATTTTCGTTATGGAATTTCTTAATTCGGTCGCGATAAAAGCTATGCAATAGCTTAAAATTAATATTTTATAAATCTTGCAAAAAAAAATTAATATCTAGTATTTACGCCAGCCGGGAACATTTGTGATACCAATTTATTAGAAGCCAAAAAAATCTCCAAAAATTAAATTTTAATTTTAATCGAAAAAAAAAAACGTACTTTCCCATAACGCCAAATAAGCAGATATTTTATATATTTTTTTAACAGGATTGATTGACGACAATGTTGGTTTATTTTTTTCATTTTTTATTATTTTTATTTTAGAAAAGTTTTACGTTAATGATGGCGTCGTCTCTCAAGGCCGTTTATCTAAAATGCGCTGAAGATACAGAAGAATTTAGTCCAGAACCTATGGAAGGTATAAAGGTATACAAGTATTAATACCTATACCACTCCATACTAAGCTAGATTAAATAAAAGAAATACTTATATTCCATTTTTATTTTAGTTCAGTGCTGACCTGTATAATTTAATGAAAAGTACTGTCAGTATGTTCTTGAGAAATACAATAGAAGATTATTCGAAGATGAATATTCATGTTTTAACTGATTTCTTGGTATCAACAAGACTGATGAGCTTTTGTTAAAAACAAAAACAGTAACATGAGAGAATATTATTGGAATATCCCTTTGCAAAATCTTGTTCAACTTGTACGGAACCCATAATAAAATTATATTCAACCATCGCTCATTCTTTAATTTTGCGTGCAAGAATTTATCTTCATCTATAATAAATAGTGATTTACTAAAAAATATTTCTTAAGTAAGCCGTGAGCGACAAAGCGAGAGATACGAGTCATGTCACGTCACTATTATCTAGAAAACATTTTGAAGAATAGCAGAATCAGTGATGTCTAGCAATTTACGTATTAATGAAAATTCTAATTCAGATGAGGGTGTTGAAACGAAAGCTCAAACGGAAATAATTTTTTGATTCTCTTTTTTCTTTTAGACATTGTCACAGTTTTATACTATCAATATAATATTTTATAATTAATAATGGTAGCCCCTTCATCTTTTTTAATTAGATGTGTACTTTTAAAAAACAGATGCCTGCGGGATCAAGCTTTGAGGTCCTTCTTTGATTCGCAAATTTTACTTTGCTGTTTTCTAATTATGAAATAAAGTTTTTTCTTCCTTGGAGTTAACTATTCACTGGTTTGATTTAAAAATCCAAGATCTAATTGTTGTTTTTTAGGTAATAATTATATTTCATTGGATGAAATTTTGATCGATTGTAACTTTCTTTTCACTGGTAATTTGTTTGACGGTATGATAACAATAATACTTTAGTATTACTCTTTAGTGTTAATTTAGCTTCCAAGGGTAACAGAGGCAAAGCCAATTTACACAGTCTATAAATGGTTTTTCGCAAGTGGAATGATGAAGTTCATGCGGAATCATTTAGTTTCTTGCTTAATATGGGAAGGAAATAAAAAAAATGTGCTCTTAAAATTTACACCATAAATTTGTCAGTAAATTGTACTATTTACCTTTATCCAAACAACGCTATTACAATTAGATATTATGAATTATTACGAACAGGACCTGCTGAACACATGTTAAAACACCAAAATGTCTTTGCTTAATTTTAAATTTAACATGTTTAACTAAAACTAAAATTAAATAAAAGTAAAAGTCAGATTTACATTGTACAAATATAATTGATCAATTCATGTTTTTCAAATAATTGTAGTATTTATATAAATATATAATTTTAAAACAATACTTTCCGTGTGTTACTTTTGTTACTAAGCGAAATATGTTTGAATTATTCAATTATTCAGTGTACTTTAAATTTAAATATCATTTTGTTATTGTAAAACGGACTGCGCGGATGTGTTGCGCACTAACCTGTTGATATAACGCGCATATATGAGGGGCCTAGTATCAAAACCGGCAATCTCCAAATTTCAGTAAAATGTGTTGCATATAGCAGTTTTTTCGTCTCGTTGTGCACTATTGGAATATGTTTCTAGTTGGTAACAAAAACGGTTTTATCCCATATAAATTTAGTTTGGAAACTACTCATCAGAATCAAAACCGGCAATCTCCATATGACTTTCAGAATCAAAATCGGCAAACTCCATGCCACCCAATCAGAATCGCGACATGTGATCAGCTGATCACATGAAATAGCATTTAAATAGCAAATACCTATTATGTTTGTTGCTTTCGTTTAGTCCATTGTGGTTGTTCATCCTGTTAAATCTTGTGTTGATTGTTGAGTTTTGCCTGAGAACCTAATGGAAGTGAATGCATCTCCTGCTGAGCCGGGTAAGGCCCGTAAAAGAAAACGTGATCCAGTCACATGGAAATGTAATGTTCGCAAGAAGCTCAGGTATTTTCTTTCTTTTCATACTGATAATAGAGTTGTATTGTCTAGTCTTCTTTGCAGATATTCTGCAAAACAGTTGCCACAATATCCAACATGTGGTCACAAAACGAAGGCTTTTCAGTGTTCTTCGTTAACCATGAAGGAAGTTAAAGACTTTCATGAAGCATTTTATGCGACAAAAAACAAGCTATTGCAAGACTCGTTCATTCTAAAGCATTGCTCTGTTGATGTGTGCAAACGTCGCCGTCCGAAAAATGCAACACGAGAAGCCAAAGTTACCCATGTAAAATGTTTTGTGAGAAATTATTCCTCAAAAGCGAACGTTCCCGTATGCCAGTCGGCTTTTTTAAACATACTTGATATTACAAAACATCGTGTGAGCCACGTCATGAAGAGTTTTACTTCCAGTGGTCAAGCACCAATAGAAAAAAGAGGTGGAGATCGAAAAACTCCTAAATACGAAGACAAACAAGCGGCGGTTCAACAGTTCATCAATAGTTTCAAGTGCATTGAATCACACTATTGCCGCTCCAGTACAAAAAGACTATACCTTCCTTCAGATTTATCGATACAAAAAATGCACACCATGTATGATCAGCAGTGCAGTCCAGAAGAAAAAGTAAAATTGTCGTATTTTCGAACAATTTTCAACACAAAGTATAATTTGAGTTTCACAACACCGCGAACTGACGTGTGTTCCACGTGCCTTGAATTGGCTGAAAAAATCAAACGTTGCGAAGATGAAGAAGAAAAGAAAAAGCTTTCAACAGACAAAAAAATTCACAAACTGAGAGCAGATGCTTTTTTTAATCTACTTAAAGAAGCTAGAGATGATATGGTAACCATATCTTTCGATTACGAGAAGAACTTAGTTCTACCAAAGGTGCCAGACCAAACAGCCTATTATTCAAGGCAGTTGTACCTCTACAACTTTACGATTGTAGAAGGTACATCAAAATCCAAGCTTAATCCAGAAAATGTTTTTTCGTACTACTGGACCGAAAATGAGTTCGCAAAAAGTTCCAATGAGGTTTCATCAGCTGTATATGATAGACTGAAAAAAATTGAGTTTGGCCCTCACCCTACCACGGTTAGGCTTATGGCAGATGGATGTAGCGGCCAAAACAAGAATAGCACTCTTATAGGGATGTGCTCCAAACGGCTAGCAAATAATGCCCCGTTAAATATTAAGAATTTGGAAGTCATCTTTCCCGTAGTGGGGCATTCCTTTCTTCCAGCAGACAGGGTGTTTGGTCACTTCGAAAAGAACATTAAAAAACTGGAAGTAATAACCAAACCTGACACCTACATTGAAATCTTTTCAAAAATTGCGACTCCCATTCGTTTAGGTACAGACTGTACTGTTTACGACTGGAAAAAAAGCGTTAAAGAGGTACTGAAACCCCCAGGATCATGGCACTTCCAATTTAAAAATACGAAACGATTTTATCTGAAGAGATGCCAGTCTGGAAATATTTTAATAAGAGGTGAAGTCCATTATAGGAGCGACTTGCAAACCTTTAAGGGATTCACAAAAAAAGGAAAACCAATTGGCATGATTAAACCAGATCTAATCAACGCCGGCCTGCCTCAGGTCAACAGTCTGAAGTTAAATGACGTGAACAAATTGCTGACCAAAAACTTTGGCAAAAAGTGGAGAGATCTAGATGAACTGATGTTTTATAATGATATCGTTCCCAGCGAGGAAATGTTGAAGAGCCACACAGAAAATCCTGAAGAGTCGGAGGAAACCCAAGACAGAGAAGCTAATCAACTTGTTGATGATGAACCCTCTTGCGAATTCATTGCAGAGATTCCATCTGTATTGGTTTAATTTTTGATATTATTTTCTACTATGTTGTTACCTAAAGAAAAATACAGTTTTAGTTTAGCACTCACTTCGTCTTTCATTGCCTTTTTTCTCGGGTATATTTATACATTTCGGTATCAAAACCGGCAATGTCATACCTCTAGGAACAAAACCGGCAATCTCCATATTTTTGCATTATATTTTGAAAAAACCTTGTCAGTTCTAAGTAACAGAACTATTAGTTATTGTTCAGAATCGAGTAAACTACCGTTTTCAATAATCTCCAACTATCTAGCATAAATAATAAGGCAGCAGTAGTTATTCGTAAATATCTCTAAACTATGAAAGTGGGATATTGCCGGTTTTGATACTAGGCCCCTCTATAAGCCCCCCGGGTTGGGATTATTTGTTCAACCGTACAACGTTGTCATTTTGCGAATTTTTTGGATCGTCCTTAGATGGTCTTTAAGTTGGTAGTCTACCATATTAGGCATATTTCATCTTTGGCGTGAATTCAAGCCATCGGTAGGTATTTAAGATTTTTGTCTATATGTAGGTAAATCGCCAATTTTGTCATTTATCTTCGTATAATTATGATGGAAATAATAAAATCGTATGAATGTTTGTTATCCAGGACCGTAATTTACGAAATTATTATACTTATAGTTTTTAATAAAATGTAAGTAGGTAGTTTGGATAAAAAAAATTGGTGATATAAAATAATAATATTATAATTAATAAAAGACAATATTTTTAAATAACCTAAGTACCAGCCTCTTACAATCATTATTAGCTTTCTTGGGGGAAATAACTGCACGGGCAGAAGTTATTTATTATTAAATAATAAATGTATTATTATTAAACATTTTATTATTTTGTTAGGTATAATAAGTAGGTACATTAAAAATATACGGAAAATGAGGAATTAAGTTCCAATAAACGAAAGTAATTTTCTAAGAGTAACTTTTACAACAAATTATTTACCAAAGAATAATAAAATTGGGCTAACAGCATTTTATAGACTACCAGGAACAGAAAAATATTTAGAGGATTTAGAAATATATTTAAGTACAATACAAAAACAAAATTTAGAAGTGTATGTAGGAGACAAATATTGATTTATTAAAAAAAGATACTCATGAAACTAATAAATATCTTAATATACTAAACTCAAATGATTTTATTTCCTATATAAACAAACCTACGCGAGTAACAAATAACACTAAAACTACAATTGACCATATTTTCATAAGAATCCAAAACAATATCAGAAACTTTATTGATATTAAACCTGTTATTTTCCGTACTGATATGACAGATCATTATTCACCCGCTGTATTTATATCTTTTTTAACGCAAACACATACTATTCACGCACCTGTAAATAAAATAAACATAATAAATTTTTATAAACTAAAAAATCTTTTAAGTAAAGAAAATTGGGATGGATTGTATAAAAATAATACAGACTCACAATTAGCATAAAATATATTCCGAAACAAATTAGATAATCACATTACAACCTCAACTGATACAAA